GGCCGCATCATCCATCGTTAGTAGTTAGTAGTAGTTAGTAATTACCCTTCACAGGAGCCTCGATGGAGTAATCACGGATGAATTCTCGGCTGTGCGACCAGGGGATTGTTTCTACTCCTGACTAGAAACGCGATCGGTGTTACGCTGGCGATAGTGTGGACGATCTGGTCGAGTCGCGGGGAAGTTCCGGCCGGTTTAAAGGATATCCAGAAATCCCTGGGTCAATGATCTTCCGAGGCGGTTCTCGTGGGGGATTAAAGTAGGCAGAGTAGCGAGCGCGTTCCATGGTTCTGATCCTGCTTGTCAAGGTCCTCAAAGTTACACCCCACGTAGAATTCGAAATCCAACGTTTCCTTGGACAGTTCATCTAGGACACGACAGCGGATGAAGAAACAAAAAAAAAAGAAAGGAGGAAGAAGCGACAACGGGAGTGAAGAAAGAAAGAATAAACCGAGTCCCCACCGCGGATACCGCGCATGGGCTCTGGAACACATTTCGAAGGAACTCCGTCCGGTTGCAATCGATATGATTTCCTATTTTAGTTCTTTTCCACCCAGTTCATTGGGCCGCACGAGGCGACTAGATTTTTCTGGCGGAAAACGACACAACTAGGCGGAAAATCACCCCAGCTACGAAGTAGGTAGAATTACTACTGAATCACTACCGTCGCAACTATCGTTGTCGAGGAAAATCCATCGGTCAGGGATTGCCCAATTCCAGACCGCTAGAAGGATCCGGATTCAAGGAAAAGGATTGCAATGCGCGGTGTGAGTGAGTGAGCCGTGGCGTGCTGTAAATCGCAAGAATTGTTGGTAGATTTTAGGACATTGGTACAGGCGGTGACCTGATGTAAACTGCCGCTGTATTCCCCCCCCCCTCCTCCTCGAGATAGACATACAGCTCGACATACATCCGCCCGCAGTATTATGTATGCACGTTCACCGCGAGGATGTCAAACATTGAAGCGGTGTGCTTCATGCGCGGTCTGATTCGACTCCCCTCCATCCGCCACTCGCCTGGGGATGGGGAGGACAGTTCAATAATGTTACGGCGATCTACGCAGGTTGGAAGGAGCACGGACAGACAACTGTCTCGACAGCAGACCGCAAGAATCCGTTTCAGATGCACGAGAGCCCAAAATATATCATGATATCGGCGGCAGTGGGAAAATATGATAATATGATAACAAGATGATCGTGTTGGATCGCATAATCCTGAATGCGTCTGACCACCTTCACATTTTCTCACTCGACTGCGAAAAGTTGGGGGTCCCATACGGAGTCATCCGAGTCATCACCGAGACATATGATAAAGGATTACGATGACGGTGAAGAATTCCTCCGAAATAATTCCAGGCACCGAAATCAGGGACCGAGAAATCCATCGAGGGTTTGGAACTTGGGGGTGTACGCGGGTTTATTCTTACTTAGTCGGGTAACAGTTACGGGTAATAATACTCGAAAAGATTAAAAATAAGATAAATAAATAAATAAATAAATCATCCAGAATAATAAAAAAAAAATAATCAAATGAGTTTTGGGAAACTTTCACCCCCGTCTTGACTCACTCTTTGACGGTTTTTTTGATCCCCACGGGCCCCAACCCGATGTTCCCCGGCCCGCGGGCCGATGCTGAAAGAAATTCATCAAATAAATAAAAGAATATTAATTAAATCAATCCATCCGGAGCACTGGAACAAAAACCAAATTCAAATAAGAAAAGCGATAGATCCACGTCCGCTGACCGGGGTCTGCTGTCAAGAACTCACGACTGTCAGACTTTCATACACGCTCGCAACTCTTTGTCCAAACCGATTTTGGTGGTGGTACTTCTGCTCTTGGACTGATCAATTCGGGGTGCTTCATTATTCTGGAATTGAATGAATGAAGCGACGATACGAATCAATGAACCGATCAATGATTCGATCAGGCTGTGGTCGCCCTATCTGTCCAACTTACCTGTTCACCTTGCAACCCCTACCAGTCAATTCTTCATACAGAATACATCGTACAGCTGCCGGGACGCCCCTTCCGCCTGATCGTCGCGCTTGACTCGCAGTTGTCAGTTGGGTACTGGCCAGCATTACGGAATATTCTATGTGTCTTGAGGAATTCTCGACCGGTATTTTTGTTTGGCGATCATTTTTACTCACTGCCTGCTGATTGTGGAGCCTGCATTATTCTTTTTTTCTTTTTTTTTCCCTTGAAATTTAAAATAAATCAATTATTTTTTATTTTGGATTTTATTTTATTTGTTTTAAAGGAAAAAAATACGCATCACACCAACCCCCCCCCCGCGACGCCTTATCTGTTGGGATATGCAAGGGAGTCCAGACGCTTCCCCGATCGATCTGGACCCATACATATACATATCTCCTTTCCTTCACCACAACTTGACCCATTCACACAAATATTGGTGCCAGAGCTTATTACTATTTACACCCTCCCATTCCTCCCTTCCCTCCTTCTGGGTCCCTTCCCCAGACTTGTCGATCTTCGTCACCTTTATTATCTTCTGTTGCTCCCGCCTAAATCTCTCGTCAGCAACACACTCCTCTCCACTCTTCCATACTGGAGCTCAACCCATTATAACAGGCCATCACCGCCGCTTTGGCTTCTAACCTCATCTCTCTCCATCCACTATTCACACACACAAACACAATGAAGTACACCCGATCTTCAGCGATACCAATGTTTCCCCTCCAGGCCTGGAGTGGCAACGCGGCCAGTCTCAGATCCTCCCCCAGTGAGGCATCGACCAACACCGACCCGGTCGCCTTCAGCTTTGATACTACGTGGGACGGTGGCTCGCCTATTTCCACCCCGGCAGCCCCTCCACCTACTCCTCAGGACTCTCTACTCGATATTACACCCCGCAAGTGCTCCTTCTCTACAGCCTTTGGCATGAGCAACGCTTGTGCTTTTCCCTCCTGGCCCAACCGACCGGCTCTGATCAGCACGGACACCGAGGTCTCTACGGGGAGCGCCTACATCTCGGACGAGGAGCTTTGCTTCGATTTGACCCCCCAGTCGGAATCCGCCGTGGAAGAAGAGTCGGCCGTACAGGAGTCCGTCCGACCGGGTGACTTGACGACTGAACAGCAGATCCAGATGTTGCGCGCCGCTGCTGAAGAGGAAGCTCAGCGCGCCCGTTTCCTCGCCCAGGTCCAGGCGCACGCCCGGGCTCAGCAAGCCATGCGGGTGGCGCAGTTGGCAACCCAGGAGAAGGAAAATGCGAAGCGCAAGAAACGCCAGGGTCTCCCGCAGAAGAAGCGGCGGGCGCCGTCGGCCACTAAGGTGGTGATTCGTGCCTAGAGCTGTCAAATTCGCCTTGTATCAACATCTTGCTTCTTATCGATACCCCGCCTGTCGCATCGCCCCACGTTGTCTTCACTGGTTTGTTAGCGCAGCACTGTCGAACGATCGACAGAACATGGACTTTTCCAGACTGTTTCGAATTTGCGGTCAACGACTCCTTCAGCCGCGTTTCCCCGGTGTCGGGCGACCAATCGGAGCGACCGCCCTCTCGCCCAAAACAAAGCGCGTTGCAAGTATCAAAGCGCCGCAACTGAATCCGAAAGGTTTTCGCCAGAGCGAACATCGGATGACTGATGAGAACGGGCAGCACGTGCCTCGTCTTGACGGAGGGGCCGCGCTGGTTGGCTGCCCGTGGGGGTTACGCGCCATAGCCGGACGGAATTTCCGCCCACGGAGTGACGTGCCCGATTCGCTGCCTGATTTTCGTTGCTCTTGCTCGATTACTTAATTCCTCGTCGCTGTCGGCGCATCACGCGAAAATTGCCTGTCAAAATCCAAATGACCTTTCCCTTCCCCTCGGCGCCTCTTCAGTCGACTGCACGTTGGACAGGGTCCCTGCGCCTATCACCGAGCTGTCATCTCACCGCTACTGTCTGATGCCCTTCGGATCTTATCTCGCTTGACACCACCACCACCACCACGACTACTACTACCAACTATTCTTATGACTCACTCACCGGAAATGATGCTGGCCAAGGGCCTTGATTGTGTTTTTCGTTTGCCTGAACTTTCCTGTGACCCCGCTTGATGTTTACAATCTTGTTTTTTTTTTGTTTTTGTTTTTGTTTTCTGCGATGGCGTTGGTGGTTTTCATCATCCATGGTAGCGCTTCGGTTTTCTTTTATCCATTTCGGGAACTCTTGGTTCATGTTCAGCCTGCGGTTCAGGATTTCACAGCACTGTCCTCTGTATTTTTCTTTTTACACCTTAATACCCCCTTTTCCTGAATATTTTCTAGCGTCGATCCCATGTTCTCAGATACCCCGTCGTGTACCTCAGTAAGGTTGTTTTCTTTGTTGTTTCTCATACCCCGAGCGTGTTACACGAACAGCTCCCGCGTCGGCTTTTTTCCACGGTTTGCATTTGCATAGCTCAGCGACATACCCTTTCTTTCCTATTTCTCATGACTCTCTTAGCGACCATGGTTGTATCGTTTTATCTAGGTAATGGCATGTGAATACGAGGTAGTACTGAATCTGGCATTGCTCCTGACTGGCGTAGTTTTCGATTGTAATTCCGACCGGCGTCTCTGGTGATCAGACCGTAGATATCGGCCACAGCAGCGAGGCCAAAGCTCTGTTTACGTAGTACCGTCGTCGGTCCCGAGTCCCCTGTGACATCCAACACCACCACCACTGGAAGACCACAAACAGAAGCAACAAAATGATCACAATTCAATAAAAGGAAACCCAAGAAAACACAGACCCGTACACATCACCACATCACCACGCCATCCCAACAAATCCGCCCCAAAACAACAGATCTACAAATTCTATACGCAACCCAAGCCCTACAAACAAAACCCAAACAAGAAAAAAACAACCATCACAGTCCAACTAAAATACTCAACTCCTCCCTTCCCCCTCACAACTAGTACATACATACCATAGTAGAAACTAGAACCCAGAATCCAGAGCCCAGAAACCAAACTAGAAAACTAAACTACTACTACTACTACTACTACTACAACCCCCCCACCAACCTCCCCACCTCCCCAATCAACCCCTCCAAGTTCATGTTCAAGTTCAAGTTCTCCCCCTCCCCCCCAGCAAACAACAACCCCTCCTTCCCCATCACCGTCTCTTTCACCCCCAGCACCCGACAAACCTCACTCACCTCCCCGTCCACCGCACACTCGTACAACAACAGCCCCAGCGCCATCAGAAACCCCCGCAACGCCTCCCCGCTCTGCCCCTCGTTCGCGATCGCCTCCGCTAGCCCCGCCACCAGCGACACCTGGTCGTCTTCGGCGAGGAGATCGCCCTTTCCGTCGAGCCGGGCGTTGTGGTTCTGCGCCGCCAGGTTGTAGGCCAGGGAGGCGGCCGCGCACCGGATCTTAGGGTTCGCGTGGAACAGGGACGTGGTCAGGGTGGAGAGGGTTGCGGTGGAGAGGGCTGGGGAGGTGGAGAGGAGGGCGGATGGGGTGGCCGTGAGGTTTGCGAGGAGGTGGAGGGTGGTCAGGGTTGTGTTGTATGGTTTTTCTTTGCTTTGGGTGGTGTTGTTGTTGTTGTCGTCGTCGGCGGCGGCGGTGGCGGTTGTTGTTGTTGTTGTTGTTGTTGTTGTTGTAGTTGTAGTCAGGGAGAGAAGAGAGAGTAGTGTCGACGGCGGGTTCTGGGCGGCGAAGTAGGCGGCGATGCGCGGGTCGAGGACGAGGAGTCGTGCCAGGTCGATGACGGCGAAGTGCGCGTCGGCTGGCGTGTCGCGGAGCAGGGCCTCGATGTAGCTTGGATAGGAGGGCGTGTCGGGGGGCAGGGGGGTTTCTATCTTGGGGTCTTGGAGGGAGTGGGTGATGAAGGATGTCATCGAGGTTAGGATCTTGTTGGAGCGGGTGTCCGGGGGCAGTTTCTGGATGAGTTTGGCGAGCGGGGGCAGGTTCTTGTATTGGATGGGTGAGCAGGGGCGTTGGAAGGTCGGGAGCGAGAGTTTGCGGTGCGGATGCGCTGGGTTGGCCATCTCGAGCAGCAGTCGTAGGTTGCCCTGCAGTTGGGACGCGTTGGCCCCGCTCCACGTCTCGGTTTCCTGGCCCTTGAGGTAGGTCTTGAATGTTGGGGTGGCGGTGATGCCGTGTTTCATGGCCACGTCGTAGGCGCCGCTGATGTCCACTTTGATGAGCCGGGCCTTGGACCCTGCTTCTTCGGCGAGCGAGTTGTACAGTGGGTACAGCGCTTTGCAGGGCGGGCAGGTCGCCGAGGTGAAGAAGATGATGGCGGCGGAGTGACGGGCTTGGTTGAGCTCGTGGTCGAGTTGTGCGAGACTGGTGACCTGGTGGACTTTACTCGGCGGTTGGGTAGGGGCTTGTGTTGGTGCGCCGGTGCTTGGGGCCTGGGTGATGGGGCGCAAGGCGGCTTCGATTTGGGGCTTCAGCATCTGGCCGAGGGGCGTGCTGAGGAAGGTCTGGGGCAGGTTGCGGATGTGGTCGGGGATGCTCTTGCCCAGGAGGAACATGGCCAGGTCTTGGGTGAAGTTGTTGCAGTTGTGGAGGAAGAGGTCGTAGGACTGGGGTTGTTGTTTAGTAATGGTTGATGTTTAAGAGGGGCCGGTGGCTTGCCTCTGGGGTGTAGATTTCTCCTAGCGAGCCGATGTACTCGGATATCACGTCCAGGGGCAGCTCTGTCTGGCCCAGATGGACCTTTTCCATGGGCTGGCCGTGGTGTGTGCTCCCCGGGTAGGCTGTTTGGATGCCATGGCCGAAGTAGTATTCCACGCCGTTGAGCACGATGGCGGTGTGGTAGATGGCATCGATGTGCGTGCCCGTTAGGGGGAGGGACCACTGGACGATGTTAGATCTTGGTCCTTGTCCTCAGTGATGGCACGAGTTCGACGTACCTGGCGGGCGAGACCCTGTTGGATGTTAGCCAATGAGCTTGTGGTTGTATACTGGATGAGAGTACCTTGGAGAGGTCGTAGACGTACAGCTCTACGTCCATGGTATGGGGCGAGTGCGTTAAAGACGTTCTACTAACGGAGTTCTATCTATGGCGTGTAGTATTAGTCGATGATGGAGAAAGTCAGGAAAGTGTCTGGGGACAATGTAGGGTATATAAAGTCCGGCCGTTTGGCTCGATTGGGAAATGTAGGCACTATTTGGGGTTACGTCAGCAGGCCCAGGCAGTCACGGGAATTCGTCGATTGTTCGGTCATCTTCGATCCAGGACCATGACTGCATTGCTTTACTATTCAGTACTGTAGAGAGAATCTTATGTCTTCATTAGCATTCGAGGTGCTGTAACATACATTCCCATAAACACTATGTAGAAAAGCCAGTATATCTCCATGTATTTCCCCCGGAGAAAAGAAAGTAAGCTCAGCGCATCCTCGGTATAGATAAGTAACCCAACCAACGGCGTCTCCGCCTTCACTTGCGCATTTAATCATTCCGCCACCAACAACCACAACCCCCCCCCCCCCCCCCCCCAATTGACACACCCCAACGCCAACAAGGGGAGATGGTGAGTCGCAAAACAAACTCCTACCCGTACACAGCCACTAACCAGAATCGTACGCCCTCCAGCCTCCCAAAAAGCGCAGCGCACCCTCCGCGCCCAGGAAAGCACGACAATCGAAGCTCGCCAAAGCGAACGACATCAGCGCGACCGAAGAAAACGAGATCAAGGAAGTCTTCCAGCTGTTCGCGACCAGCGCCGCAGACTTCCCGAATGAGAAAGAGGGGGTAATCGCCCGCGAAGACGTTCGGAAGGCGCTTGTGTATGTCCCACCCCACCCTCCACTCCTGCGTCGATGTGTTGGATTGGACTGTATTGACTGAGGGGATAATCAAGAGCGCTGGGACTTGCGCCGGCGGACTCGCGAGAGCTTCACGATATTCTGGCTGCGGTGGACCCCACGACGACTGGGTACGTGCTCTATGAGCCGTTTGTGTCGGTTGCGGCGGCGAAGTTACGGTCGCGCGATGACGATGCCATGGTGGCCGAAGTGGATGCCGCTTATCAGCTGTTTACGCGGAATACGGATGGGCCGATTACCCTGGGGCATTTGAGGCGCATTGCGCGTGAGTTGAAGGAGGATGGGCTGGGGGATGACTTGCTACGGGATATGATTTTGGAGGCGAATGGGGGCGAGGGCATTGAGGCTGGGGTGAGCTTGGAACAGTTTCATGAGGTTATGACTCGGGCTGGCGTTTTTTAGTGATTAGATTTGGGATTTGGTTTTGGGGTTTGGCGTTGACTTGGGGGTTGGCGTCTGTAGGCTTGTTTGGTTGGTATGCTTTTCATGGATCGTGTACATACATCATGGGAGGAATATAATATTGCTTTTGAGGTATCTGCTTGGGAATGGAGGTCTTTGGGTACCTGAAGACCGTAAGTGTCTGGAAGGGACTGGTGGTGATATATCCCGGGAGAGGTCAAAACCCTGGATGGATTGTGGAGTTCCTGATGCTAACTAGTAATGTATGAACGAGAAAACATTCTCGGCCTGAAGCATGTCTGTCTTGCTGATGCAGAGTGCGTCCAATCTATGCCTGTCCAGAATCATGTCCACTAAAAATACAAAACACAAAGCAATGCAACGCCTTTAGGGACTTGGGGTATCATAATAGTGATGTACACAGTTGCTAGAGTCCGCCAATCGAGCGGACCATGCTAAATATAACAATATGCAAGAGACTATACTCAATCGATGTCCGGAACAGGCCGTGCATTCTCGACTGGAAGACCTGCCTTCTCAGGCGTGGAAACGCTTGTGGATTGAGATGTTTGAGAGTCGTCGGTGGTCGTCGATGTTGTCGACATGTCCTCCGTGGCAGCACCCGAGGTAGGTACTGAGTTCTCCACCTCCGCAAAATCTGGCTCGTCAGTTCCAGCGGGGAGAGAAGATAGATCCACGGCTTCATAAAAGAGCATGAAGGCACCTCCCTGCGCCATAACGTTGGACTCGCTGACCATCTGCACATCCTCGTCACTCAGCCGGAACCAGCGCTCGGTCGTCTGCTTTTCACCGTCTTGCTCGATGACTGACTCCGGAACGTCGGCCGGGAATGCATCTGAAGAGTACTTTCTATAACAGATATAGTGACCGTTCTCATGGCGGCCGTAGTGCGTGATTACCGCTCGTAATTCATATAGTTGTCCATGGGCGTCCGCGATCTTGGCGGCTTGTGCGAGCATCGACTCTCTCGGATCCATCTCCCACGTTTCGCTACCGGCAGCCGCTCCTAGGCACCACTCGCCCATATCAAGGATCTTCGGGAACTTCAGAGCGGCGTAATTCTTTCGAAGCATTCCCGTCATTTCATCAAACAAGCTTCGATTGATGTGAACGACAAGGCATTTCGGCGGCCTTGCAATCACAGCTTGCCTGGACTTCGTGGAGGAAACACGGTTCTTCGAAGGGATATTGCATTTCTTAGAGAGAGTCTTCTCCGCAAAATCCTCCTCCTCGAGGGCCTCCTCGACAGCCTGCAATCGTTCCTGCGCCGAATTCTTCAGCGCTTCAGATACACTAGGTGAATCGGGTGTGTTCGAAAGCGACTTATCCTCCTCGATCTGCTTAAGTAAATTCTGGAGTTGTTTTTGAGCGTGCAACAAAGTACACTTCGCACACTCCACCCCTTCAATAGGCTCTAAATCCATATAGTCCTGGAGACAATCACGAACATCGTGTTCATAGCCCGCCCCAAGTGGCACCGTTAGGCAATTGAATGGAATAAGGGATAGACCCTCGGTCCAACCGCATTGCATGCAGCCCACTCGCTGTGCCAGCAGACCTTCCAATGGGTTTCCGAAGGAGCGTATTTCGGCGATCCGAGCCCCGACGGAATTATCCAAATTTGCTTCCTGCGTAGACCCAGCCCCGATCACATTTTCTTGCGGGCTTGCCACCTTCAATCCGAGGTTCCGGGTCTGTTTCCGTGTAGCCTGCTGTATCTCGTAGTCTACCTGATCGATAACCTTCGAAAAATATTCCTGTGCGTCTTGTTGCTGCCAACTGCTCATCGATTTCAAATCCGCCGGAGTCCATAATCGCTGCCCGTAGCTGTGGGGGCTATTCAGCTGTTCTATGATGCCCTTGAGCGCCTGATGTGTCGAGAATGTTCCCTTTGCCCCGAATAAATCGATGTTCCGTCCCAAAAATGTCGCTAGCGACTTCAGCGAAGCGAACCCTTGTATGATACTGTTCTGGTAGCACGAGTTGTCCCAGTTGCCCAGACCCGGAGGTAGACTGTCCTTGTTGCCGAGGAGTGTAGTGCCGAAGCCCGGGAGTGTTGGAGCTCGGGGGATAAGGGAGGAAAGCGAGGAGTTGTCGAGTCTGAGGATCCGTTTCATCGCTTCGCTCTTAGCTTCGAATGTCATCGGACCGGCACTTTCGTCGATCGGGGTTGAATTTGCGGTTTTGTCTAGGGCGGCGACTACTCGAGAAGGCGTCATATAGACGATGACGTCCCACAATGCTCGAGCTACCGTGGCTGGAATCGATCCAGACTGAGTCAAGGCAACGAAGACGAGTATCGCGATCGCTAGGGTGGAGGCTATGCTTGGGTGATCTTGTAGATACTGAAATACCGTGTCATAGTGGCTATTCTTTGCGTGGTTCCAGGGACTCTGAGTGAGGACACTGTTCGCTCCTCTATGAGAGTGCATGGCTGAGTGGGAAATCTGGGAGATCACGGCATAGAGACAACGTTTGAATACTCATGGATGGGTAAAGGAAAGAATATGAGTCTGTATATTATCTGATGTATAGATTGGTGATATTTGAACTGTTTGCCCGTCGGAGTTTAATAAGCGCCGCCGGGCTTCACTTCTGGTTTCTGTGGTTGCCCGGACTCGTTATCGATAGCGACTTATCGTCTCCACTGAAAATATTCTACGGCTGTGATAAAACACAAACTTTCTGGTCCTCATCACAATGGCTAAAGCAAGAGGTACGTGGAGATTATGCAGGAGGGAAATGAGGTTACTAAATTAATGGCTGTCTATAGTCCAGTCAAAGCACTCTCGCGCGGCCCGGCGGGCAGCATCGCCGAGTCTCGACGTCGACAAGTCTTTGACCACCCTTCCCCGTGCCGAAGATACTGTGATACAGCGTGAATCTATCCTTTCCGATCGTGCAAGTTCCGGGGTGTCCAAGAGGAAATCGAAAACTAAAGCCCTGTCAAAGGTGCAGCGTGCTAGGCAGCAGAAGGGTATCGAAAGAGCAGAGAATGTCATGGATCAACTGGAGGCGAAAGTGGAGAAGAGTGTCAAGCGGGGGAAGACTGTGAAAGCACGTAGGGTACGAGCAAGATGATTCACCCAAGGCCATTTCCTTGACTGACAATGCGGGTTGCCAGGCTGAGTGGGAAGACCTGAATCGCAAGTCGGGGGCGACCATGTTTCAGAACCTCAACGACGAGGCCGATAATGACGACGATGACGCTATGGCCGATGTTTCCGCGGCCCCGAAGAAAACAAAGCCGCAGCCGCAACCCACATACGTGGCTCAAAACCCGGCGGTCGACCAACACGCAGACATTGACGTGGACGATGATATCAGCTGAGCTGTCACGGCGACAGTGCAAAGGAGATACCAGGCCGGTCACGTCAACTATTTCCTTGGCCTAAGCTGGTTGATCATTCGATCAATATCAGCGGCAGCTGGCCCCGAAGCTCTCGTCCGGAGGAGCTCCAGGGTATTAAAGTCTTTCGCTCTGAAGGCTTCCTCCCCGGCTTTCACGATCATTCCACATTTCACCCACATTTCCACCTTGTCCTCGACTGGTAAACTGGTGCATTTGGGGACGAAAAACGAGGCGAGTTTCGTGTTTCCAGCACCTAGTATCTCGTTATAGAAAGGCTGTCAATTTGTGTCAGCACGTGCATGCATACAGCTGAAGCTGGTTAAGAATTGGCTCACCTCCCATCCGATCGGGGATTTTTTGTTTCTGCCGATCTCTTCCAACTCACCCCAGTCTCGTTTGGCGACTAGAGCCTTAGTCTAAGCCACCAGTATGTCTTGTCCGGCATCTTAAATTCACTCTGCAGTTTCTGTGCTCTCTTGCCGTAGCCCGATCGGATCAATCTGTAAATAGTCTCGTTTAAGCTTAGACCTACAAACTCAGAGCGATCTGCAATATCCTTGTCCAAGGCTTCCTGAACCTTCAACAACTGTGATGCTTCGGAAAGGAGTTTTTGCTGCAAGACGACTGTCGCGTCTTTAGAATCGACTAATAACCGAGAGGCAAGCTGCAGCTTCTCCGTTTTGTGCGGCAACTCTGTCTGAGCCAATGCTTCCGAGAGGAGCACATTAGAGCCGTCGATCGGACGGTCGTCTTGGTAGTAGAGATCTTTTAGTAGTTCCGCATCGTCACCTCGAGCGGTCGTTTCCACAAGGGCAGAAGCCATAGGTCGAGTGTTAATCATTCTGAAGAAGCTGGCAAGGGGGAGTTTGCTCTTGAGACGCAGAAGCACATAGTTTACTAGGTCATTGTCCCCGCTTTCGATGGCCTTGTCAAGAGCGATTTCATCCTCCTCCATATTCAGAAGTAATGGAACCTGCTTGCCGGCCCGCGGCTCGTGGTTCAGCAGCTGAGTCGCCAGAGGAGCACGCCCTTCATCGTAAGCGGCTTGTGCGATCAGTTCGAACGATATCCCTGGCTTACCGTCCAACCTTTGCACGATAAGCTTACAGACAGCTTCATCGTCAACAGTTGAGACCTTGACCTTCTGGCTAGCCCAATGAACGTAAATCCTGTCGGCGGGTATCTGCAGGTATTCAGAGATTTTGATGGCAAGCAGATATTCATGTCGATTCACCAGACGTTCGATAAGTTTCTCCGGAGTCAGCCGCATGTATTGATCATATGAGATTGGAAGCCCAATCTGGTAGTCCCTGACTGCTTTAAGAACTCGGAGTTTCTCGGTCATTTCTACAAAATCGTCACTGTTGTATAAATCCAGAACAGACTTTCCGAATGACGCAGCTTTCAACAATCTCTTCTGCCAATATGCGTCGAACTCATGACCCGCGGCCCGAACGCAAGTGTCGACGGCCTCTGGTAAACTTGATCGGATTCGTTGGATATTCTCGTCAGCCTTGGGAGACTTCTTTTCCAACAAGTCGATTGAGTCCAGCAGGACTGAGGCAGGGGAGGTAGACCCGAGGCGGAAGATCGCCTCCGTTACGTCTAGACCGGCTGTTAATTGGCGAGAAAACGGATCTTGCAAGGAAACATACCAGTAACTTTATGCAAAAATTCGCATGTGTCATGAGTGATCAATCGTACACCATCAAACTCGGGGACGACGTGGACAGTGCCATCGTAGTAGTAGCTTACTTGGTCAGAGGAGCGCAGGCTTCCAGATACGACGGACAACTCACCGAGCGGCAACGCCGTTGGGACCAATCAAGTGCACTTCATCTTCCCACGCAATGACAACAGCATCATCGCCACACCAGTCAATCGTCCGGGGAGTTACGCGAGATTCGGGGTCATATTCGCTGTACTTGCTCTGGAAGTCACTACTGACTACCCATACTTTGCCTTCCGCCGTAATGAGAGCCACAAATCTTCCGGTTGGCGACACGCTGGCATGCTTAAAAGGACCATTTTGAAGCACTTTGTCCTCTGCTTCTGTGGGATCAACCAGGTATACAGTCTTGTCCACAGCTAGCAGTACCTCGACCGAGCGCGACAAAGTAAAAGCAGGTGGAATTAATGACCACGATGAAACCTCTCCTTCAGGACAATGAGCTAGGAGCTTCGGTCGAGGCTCGTCATAGCTAGACACAGCTACCAGCTGGTTATTTGAGAGCAGAGCAACGAAGCCGGAAGTCCAAAAACGACAGGCTCTGACTCCATATTCTTCCGCTCCCTACGCATATTAGTCCCGAAGATAGTAGATATAGGTATCAAAAGCCTACGTTTCCAAGAGAAAATGTAGTGAAATCTCCATATAGTCCGAAATAGCGTCGCACGGTGCCGTCTTCCGTGATCACTAACAACTCTTCCTTGTCGGACCAGCCGAGCCCTCGGATAGTACCATACTCCCACTGGAATGGTTAGAGTTAGATGCACCATTGAGTTCAATCATTAACTAACATTAAGTCGATTAATCAGCTTTCCCGAGGAGGAGTAGATACCAATGCTCGACCTGGCGGTCTGAGCATCACGGAACCTGTACGGCTTGGTATCATCGCGATGCAACGCTTTGATTTGTAAGCATCGACCCAGACATGTATAACTATAGATACTCGTACCTAGAGCCCCTCCGTATGGCGCGCCTGCAACGATGTAGTTCTCTAGTTCGACGTCTTCATCGAAGATAGCGTCGTATATTGGGACTTTCCTGTAGAAACTATCGCCCAGCCTCTCCCAGTTTGCCAGTGGATTTGACGGCGCCATTTATACTGGCAGATATTTCCATAAACAGAGACCGCACCAACCGAAGAATGAGAACAAAGCTGCGATGAGCCTTGTTGGTGGTCGTTTCATCGGGAAGCTCCCAGCTCACATGGGGTCGGTCCGGGGCTAAACTAAGTTAGGCATAGCGTCTTGGCTGTTCCGTCGGCCACTTATCAACGCTCAATATTTACTGATACTGGACATCATGAAGCAAACGAGAAAGGATTATGGACGACCTAGCAGAAATATCCAGTCTGGTACTAGGACTATCAGACCTTGAAGTAGCACTTTATCTCTGCCTTGCTGCTCGCGAGCATTGCCGTATCGACGCTACGACAGACAACATTAATGATGTTGCAAGAGAGCTCGCCCTGGTAACTTGCTTCCTAATATATAATATGCTTCATGGTTCACGCGCTGACGTTCCACCAGATATGTGTACACACCTTTGGTCTTACTTGTGTTACCGTTGACTGCTCGGAGACTACAACATTGGATGGATTCTGCTCAGAACTCATTCTTGCGAATGCTCGAAACTCGGCTGGCCCGAACGATGCGGAGAACAGGGCGGCAAACGTCGTTGTAGCCAAGAACTTCGATCACGCTGCTGACAGGATACAGCTCCAAGCTCTTGAGGTGACGGTAGAATCTTGCTTGAAGGTGTTCTGTTGCTAACACCCATAACAGCTGATGCGCTCTAAGAAACTCAATACATACAATGGCTTCCTTCAGGCCCCAGAGGACTTCCTCTTCATACCGCTTGTTATGCGCAAGACAGAACATGATCAGCCAGCTTTAAACTTTCATTTGGTAGGTAGCCTGTTGCCATAATTCTATGATCGGATGATGCTGACCAGTCAAGAATGACCACCTCATTATCTCCCATTTCCACGGTTCTAGGGACAACTTTATTTACTTAGAAGAGAATAACGACTGGCTCTCTGATGGCCAGATGTCGGCATCGTCTGTTGTGCGCAAACCAGAAGTACCACTGCACAAGGGACACCCAAGTATAGACCGACAGGTGGGGTTAACTTTCTGGGAGTTCGTTCAATACTTACCGATATACAGGCTTTGGACAAATTACAGAAAGCCAGTGACTGTGTAACTATGGGCGCGGATGTAGTTCGGTATCATCAAGACATCATTGTGTTTCTCCGTCTCAGTCGCGCAGTTGCTGGAGGAATATCCGCACGATCAAACGTCTATTTTAGGAAACTCTCAAAGTGTGTCCTCAAGGCTTTAGAAGTATGACTTGAACTAACCAAGATAGGTTGCTCGCTGCATTGCATGGAATTGATTATCTCACGCCATCGATAGTAGCCTTAGCTGCGAAGAAGGTCTTCCGCCATCGAATTATTGTGGCTAAACCGGAAGATGATCGCAGTTTGCAATATGGAAGCGACTTAAAAGCGGTAGCCCAAGTTCTATCTTATGCTACTCCTGATACTATCCTGGACAGTGTCTTGACACTGGAAGCTCCCTTATGAGCTTGGAAGTCGTACGACGATGCAAATCTCGTTTTCGATCACCATGCGCGGCCGTAATCAACTGGACAATATACTATGTTACAGTGTATAATGGTGGACACACTGAATCATGCATATAACGTCAGGTGCGCCCCGCAACGGAAAATATATAATATACATGAACGCCCGTTCCATCTGACTCCCCACTAATGTAGCCTGGACCATGTCCCTATGGCCGTTCGCCAATCAGTTAATCAAGGTCAAGCAACTCGCCAACCAAATTCACAATTCCACCTAGCATATTGGACACCAAATCCACCACACCCCCCAACAACGGAAACGTAACCGACAACAGACACTCCAGCGCATCGGTTACCTCGTCCAATAATTCTTCCAATACTTCGTCAAGTGTACACTTTTCCTCATCATCCCGCCTAGTGCTTTGCAATACATTGTTTGCGCCCGAGTTAGGCTCTTGGCAGGTCGTCATCTTACTCAAGACTTTGTCCTTGGATTTCTTGAGCAGCGCCTCTGCGGATTGGATTTGTTGGAGTTTATCGCTAAGACCTCTTTTATGGGTGGCGCCGACGGTCCTATTTAGAGCGGGCGCTACTGCCTTGCCATTGTCCGCACTAATATGAGAGAGTCTCTCAAGGATCGGGGAGACGTGGTGGAGGGTGCGGTTGAGCCTTTCCAGATTCTGACAATTGTTGAGACTAGCTCCCGGGACTGCTGAGTGGGCGTGGATAAGTGAAAAAATGCTTGAAAGGAAGACGACGCAGAACAAGAGTGGCTGATACATCGTTGCGATCTTTCGGATGGGGATTGAGTACTGAGTAGTGTTACACTGGTTGGAAGAGGAATTGTTGATTCTCCATGATCAATAAAGAATGAAAACCTGGCACTCTTGGCAGGAGAATAAGGGGGATCTACGCAGAAAACGAATTCTCAACTAATGCATCGATTACAGTTCCAGAAAATGAGAAAGTCTATCATGTCGGATCATCGATGATATCCTCGCGGCTTACCCCAAACAGTAAGGTGCTCATTTCGCGTATTCCGGGAGTCGAGCCGAAAAGGAGACACATCGCTTATATCAGCAGTTCTGAAATCCCGTGACCCCACTGAGGGAAGCGGGTCTGTGGAGTGTACTACTAGTATGTGAGCTGTCAACAAGTTGGGTTAATTTGTCGGAGGAATTCCGATGGATAGTGCAATAAAACTGGTCTAGCGCCAGGATCCCCGGAAAAGAGAGTCTTGCCTCTCCGGGTCAATCTCTCAAGAGCGAATAACGATCCTTGCGTTATGGCCAAGTTCAACAGGTTGAATCGTTTGTTAAAATTCATGTACGCTAATGCAAAAAGGTGTCTAAGCTAGATCATACTCCTTGATCAACTTCTCCGCGCATGTGGCTCCCGTCACATATGCCACGGCCTGAACGTGACAGTTGGCCAGTACGGGGACCACGCTCATATCCGCTACGCGCAACCCATCAATGCCGATGAAGCGGAAATCGTTGTCCACTGCGGCATCGGTATCGCCTTTCTTACCCATCTTGATAGTGCCAGTCATGTGCCAGCTGGATGAAATGTTCTGCTTCCAGTACTCCAAGAGATCATCGTCAGAGTCGGACTTGGGGCCAGCCAATTCCATGACGTTATCCTTGGTATAGCCATCGTTCTTAGCAATGCGGAACGCATCCCGAAGAGACTCAATAGCAATACGACGATCGAATGGGTGAGACAGGAACTTCGGATCGAAGAGCAAGGGCACATTGGGGTCCGAGGACTGTAGAGTGACTTCACCACGAGCCTGTGCGTTGAACATGAACACGAGCAGACAGGAGTAGTTCAGGGCCTCCTTGGCGAAATCCGGGATGAACCAGTGGATAGGGAAGTGGGTCAGCATTTCATAGTGCGGTACGGTCTCTTGCAGAAGATACTTTTGCTCTTCCTCGGGCAGCTTCTGGAATTCCTCGGAGGACGTGAGCTTGTCGAGCTTGAACCAGCCGATGCCCAGTTCGCAGGCGAACCGTGACCATGGACCGCTTCCGTCTTTCTTCCATTGCTCAAGGGCCTCGGCCATGGCTTTCTCGTTGCCGTAGAACTCACGGCGCTGGGTGCTATTCTCCACGCGAGTGTTCACGATCGGGACGAAAGTGTGGTCTCGAAGGCCCTGGCCAATGACGGGAACGTCGAGCTTGACGGGGATATTGAACTTCTCTAGCTGCTGTGCCGGGCCAATGCCCGAGTGCATGAGGATGCGCGGACCTTCCAGAGACCCAGCGCACATGATAACCTCCTTTGAGGCGAGGTCTTCGCAAATGTTAGCCAGATATTGCTTGATTGTATATACTATTTTTCGTCGTCTCCATTTTTGGATATCCTTTTCAAATCAAAGCGGGTAAACTGAAGTGGAACTCACACTTCTTCCCATTGGATTCCACACCTACAGCCTTGTTGCCGTCGAATACGAGGCGCTGTACAGGAGCATCAGTGACAATAGTCAAGTTCTCCGGCTGTGGCTTCAAAAGATCCGCAGCTGTTGACCGAACGCCCTTGTGGGCAGAGTTAATCAGAACAGACATCCCAATGGGATTGCCCGAGTTGTGGTCCGGATTGAAGGGGAACCCTGCTTGCTCGATGACATCCAAAAGCGGCGGCAGATCCTTCTCCCATTCCGAGGCGAACCCGACGTGAAGCCGGCCAGAGTTTCCGTGATCTTCCGCTCGGGGAGCTGCGTACTTCGTATCAACACCAGCCGGGAGATCGCCGTGGAAGGTCTCGAGGGTTTTGAACCTGGACTGGATTTGCTCCCAGCGGAAGGCATCATCACCAACAACCCGTGCCCACTCTTCGTAGTCATCGCGGGCGCCTACCGTGTACACCCCGAAGTTGATGGCGCTGGAGCCTCCCATGCCCCGTCCGCGGGAGTAGTCGATCTCGCGGTTGTTACAGTGCTCTTGCGGCGTGGTCTTGTAGCCCCAGTTCATGTGTTTATTCTGGAAGGTCAGCCACCGCTGGCCGTCCACCCGCAGGTCGTGCTCAGCATTGAGGCCGCCGGCTTCCAGAAGAAGCACTTTGGGATGCTTCGGGGAGTTGGCTAGCTGGCTTGCCACCGTGCTGCCAGCCGGACCACCTATTACGGTTCATTAGCGGACTGTGGCGACCCCGTCCGGGCGGTCGGGCGGTCTCACCTCCGATAACAATAAAGTCAGCAGCGGAATCCATTTTGTCTTCTTGGTTCTGAGGTTGATCTCTGAAAGTCAATCGGGGGAGACAAAGAGGGGGGATACGAGGTCTTCATAAGGGGACAAGACTGCTAGCGCGCCTTGGTGTGAATCTACTCCGGTAGAGGGGCAAAGCATTGGCAGAAACGTTCCTGACCGCTCCGCTGGCGTAGACTCCATACGGAATAAAGGAAATTAACGAGTCTTCACTATTAGCAGGCATGAAGCATTCGGTGCATGTCGGCTGGGGGGTCCAGTCCTCAACGGTGGTGTCTTTGGCAGGGATCAACAGTTCCGGCGTTTGGAGCAACGTCCAATGGAGAGTTGCGATAAACCCTAACCGGCAGGGTTAGCGGGTCCTGGTACGAGCCTAATCTCCCACTAATGTCTAATCATAGTACTTGGGGTAATGCCAGTCCCCACTTTATGGTTTAAGCTCCAAGTCCACGTACGAGAGCTGAGGCCCTAATGCTGCGTCAGGACGGATATGGATGGCACACTAGTTTAGGCCGTGTCCACAGCTCTCTCAGGGGGTGGATCCATGAAGATACCGAATTATTGACCACTCTACCGTCCAAAGATGGAGCCTTCTTGCACACTAACTGAAACGGGCTGCTTCAGTTCATGCTAGGGCGGTGTTCGTTGATTCTCCCCTTCAGATCATTGCCTCTTTAGGATATAGGTTGGATGTCCTCTCGTCCACGGACGACGGGAGGACAGTATGTCCCGGTGAAGCGGTCGTGTTCTAACGCTGATTAGCATCACATTAGCTCCGTACGTATCTTGGCATTATAATTTCTAATGCACATCCCTCATGCCGCTGGTGGATCCGATATTCCCGGAACCGTGTGAAGAATCCTGCAGAGCGGTGCTTTGGGATTTTTCCTTTTCTTTTCCTAGCATCAATGCACATTGCCCCCGTTCCCAAAATGGCACCCCTTCCCTGTGCCTTGGAAGCGGGACCTAGCGCACGCGGTTCTTATACTTGCCAATTCCGGATCTCTTGAGTGACCCATTTGCTCTTCTTCCCTACGCGGTGCGCTCTTCAGCTTTTTGTGTTGACATCATGGCCACAGCAGACCCGGAGGCGTTCACCCTCCTCTCTCTGGGTCTAGTCTTCATTATTATCCGAGTCTACGTGAGATGGACGGCGGTCGGCCCTGCCAACTTCCAGGTGGATGATTACTTGATGCCCTTGGCTGGGGTGAGTGTGAATAAAATCGACTGCAAGTTTTTCCAGAAGAGGGGTGGGTACTTACACTTAAGATATAGCTAGCGTACACTGCCGAAACAGTAGCGGCGTACCTGGTTGGGGCCATGTTCGGTGGACTCACGAATAGCTATATGACTCCCGAAGAACGTGCTGCGCTTGATCCAAACTCGCGCGAGTATTACGATAGGCAATGGGGCTCGAAAATCCAGGTGATCGGGTGGTCATTCTATGCATGCATTTTGTGGTTGGTGAAGGCCTGTGTGGCCGTGTTCTATTCCCGGCTGACGTACGTTTCTTCTCCATTATTATTTTGCCTGTCGAAACCTGTATGACTGTGACACTGACCAGTACAGCACTGGGCTTCAACACTTACCCGGTCGAGTGCGGTTCGCATACGTCCTCCTCGGAGTGACCTATCTTGCTGTGGCATTGTCCATCTTGCTCGGATGCCAACCGATGCATAAGTACTGGCAGATTAACCCAGATCCTGGGAGTAAGCAATTGAAGCCCTTTTGTTCTACCTCTACCATGCTAACAGCTTAGATATTTGTCAACCCACCAGGTCAACGCTCTATGTCCTCATTGTGGTCATTCCAAATGTATTGACCGACCTGTACCTGATGTCTATTCCGCTGCCAGTTCGTCTCCCATTGCCCCACCAAAAGCCACCAAAAGCTCACACTACGTCAGTTGTTATGGAAAGTCAACATTGGTATTAGGAGAAAGATTACCCTAATGGCTTTGTTCAGTGGCGCCGCCTTCGTGATCATGGCCGCTATCATCCGTGCCGTAACCATCATGACAGTGCGTCCTACCCTTCCCGTAGACCTACTTCGATTGTTTCCATACCTAACAAGCGCTCCTTAGTCCGGACCCGAAGGCGCAGTCTCAGGCAGTAAATGGGCTTGTCGCGAAACATTCGTCGCCATCGTTGTCGCCAACCTCCCAATCATCCAACCCCTTATCCGCCGCGGCGCCCAGAAAGTCGGTCTCAGCGCCCTCTTCAGTTCCAGCGGCGGACCTTCCAGCTACGGCCGACACCGCACCCAGTCCTTTCCACTATCGAGTCGAAATCAACCATCTAAACGCTCGCGACACCCGCTTTCGATTCCGAATAACACGACGGCATGGGGCAGCGACGAGCATATTTTAGTGGAGGGGTCAGGCAAGGGGTCAGGCAAAGCGAATGACATCACAGTCACACAAGAGATGATTATCGAGAGTGAGCCGCGTCGTACTGGCCATCATCCGGATGAGGCCCTTCCATCGCCTAATGCGTGGGATTCGAATAGGGGGCGGGCTCTCTGATTCCACTGGGTTTGGGTTGGTTTGGTTAAAGGTGGAGTCATGGCGTTCGACGTGTTCAATGTAATATTATAAAATATCTCCTTTGTTAAAGTACGTTATATTGAAGTAATACCCAAGCTAGAAACTTCGCAGGATTTTGATTCTAAGACCCCAGGGCAATAAATAGCCTAGTATGGTCCAACAAATCCATGTCATAAAATACCAAGCTTTAGACTAAAGCGGAGGAATGCAAGGAAGGCTTGGCTATGGCCAGGACCATTAATTGGTTACGTAGAATAGCAATCCAAGTATTAATTAATGTGATATATTAATGTCTTAATTAATATTAATATGATTCCCCCCGGCCATAGCACTGGACATCGGTGTGTGGGGATGGATCTATATTGATGTTTACTAAGCTCGTATCGCTGAACTTAAATTATTTTTTGTCTCTGAATAGAAACCATAGCTAGCTTAGTTATAGTAATTATATAGGCTCATTACAGCGATTATCATGTTGAACATGGAGGTGGTTCAATTTGCAGAGCGCTGCCTCGGCCTGTCTGCCTGAGGCCTTCACCTGTGATGAATAACAACCCCGCCCGTTGTGGTTAATTAATAATAACTGAAATATCATTTTACGAGCTCATAGCTGTCCTTGATCCGCACCATGAAGCACGGGCACCAACAGCATGGATTCCCTCTAGCCTCTTGTATTTTAACCTGCTTCCGTGTGGTCCATACCCACCATGAACATGGCCGAAAGCAGGAGCCAACATTGCAATCCCCGTAGCAATGAACTCCACTTGCTCTGGTCACCCCCAAGATCAACAGTTTCTGCCCCACCAACCTCACCACCTTCCTTTCTCCCTAGCTCAGCCTCGGTTGCAACTCCAAGCTTGTGGCAGTAGGCTATGAGTTCTCTTGTTTTGCTATATTTCCTCCTTCTCATAGGGGCTCATATCGCACATGAGGCTGTCGAACCGCTCGGGGATATTGGCAGCGCGTCGAGCCAGCTCCATTTGCGCATGGTCTAAGTGCCGCGCCATGGGTACAGTAGTGGAGTGGTATAGGCCTGCTGCGGCACGCACCAGGGAGCTACCGGCATACTCGATTGCCCACGGTATCCATTGACTTAGGCGCCATGGGGTTTGGAATGGCGACCAACCTCGTCCGGCAGGGTTACGAAGTCACGGGATTTGATATATCTCAGGCAATCCTCGAAAGGTTCAAACAGCAGGCACAGGACGTACTACTCGATGGGCCCGAGCCTGCGATCAAAACACTTCCCGAAGGAGCAGTCCTGCTGCTATGCTCAACCGTTCCCCGTGGCCATGTTCAAAGCCCCGCGCGTGAGCCGGCCGAGAGATGGCGAAGCGACATCGCGTTAATCGGCTCCCTCGAATGCTCGATCCGAATTTCGGGCCGCTTGCCAGCGCGCTCACCATCATCCTGAAAGACACGAGTATTATTACTTCAACCTGCTCCTCGGCGCACGACAGGCCGCTGGAAAAGACACTTCCGACATATCACTGAGCCAGATTATTGGCTGATGGGGGCAATAGCATATCTATGGTCACTATATCAGTCTCTGTTGAACTCATCATACTTCTAGTCTGTAGGGTCACGCTGCGACGCTGAACTTACTGCTAGGCAGTGGTACCTCGGTTATAGTTATGTTGTTCCTTTTTTCTATGCTAATTTCCTTGTCTTACGTTTACTATGCGGTGTATTCAGTGCAGTGCAGTAGCTGGATCTAATGAGTTAGCCCGTTATACTCATGTGGCTGTGACACTATTAATCATAGATAGTCGGCAGTCAAAGAATTTGACTCCTGAATTTGTTAGAAAGATATCCTCAAAGTATAAGCCCGCGGTCCGTTCACGCTACATGATATTTGACCCTTGCCCAGGAATTCCATCGACATGTTGACCTTGTATGATTGTAAAATATTGACTGCCCGTTATACGGCATGGAGTCCACTCGGTCAAGCAATAGCGGTGGGTAAGGCTCGCCGCTCAGCGCGGGTACAGAATGTAAGCTGCATTAGAATGCAGTTGGAACCCCCACTCGGTCCCACTGAGCGATTAAATACGCAACTTTGGGTCCCACCAAAGCTGCTTCTTTCAGCACAGCCTGAGAAAGGCAATTCCAGGCGGCATAGCACATCGCTGCTCGCCTCAAGGCGCTGGGCGTCACGACCCTAGTTGTGGAACACAACAAACGAATCGGCGACAACTGGCGCAACCGATATGAATATCTCTCCCTTCACCTTCCCCACTGGGGAGATCACTTCCATTGTTTTCCTTTCCCTGAGCACTGGCCAACATACACTCCTGCTGCGAAGTTGGGCGACTGGCACGAGTGGCATGCGAGTGCGCTCGAGCTGACAACCTGGACCGACTCGAATGTCATTGCCACCTCGAAGGACGCCAAAAGGGCTTGGGAGATCACTGTTCAACGCGGCACTGGGCAAGGCAAGTACACGCGCATTTTCCACCCCCAAACACGTTGTGCTGGCTACATCACTTGCGGGTGTACCATTTGCCCCTGACATTCCTGGGGCTGAGAAGTTCCGAGGCACAGTGAAGCATTCGACGCAGCACCACTCTTCTCGAGACTGGGTTGGCAAGAAAGTCTTGGTGGTTGGTACCTCTTCTTCTGGATTTGATACAGCATACGACTTCGCTGGTCGGGGCATCGATGTCACTCTTCTTCAAAGGTCGCCGACGTATTTGATGTCATTAGACAAATCCATGCCACGGGTATGCCTCCACTTAGTGATCAAACCATAAAAGCTAAAAGAGATGCCGTGCTCACCTTTTGTTCACTAGATGATTGCGCCGGTGTATAGCCCGGAAGGCAGGAAACGGCCTGACATTGATACCGCAGACCGAGTTGCCTACGCCCTCCCAACCGGCCCCGCTGAAGAGCTATTCCGTCGGACAGCTAAGGACATCTGGGGTGCAGATGCAGAGCTGATTGCCAAGATGGAAAAGGCCGGCTTTAGGGTCTGGCGAGGCCAGCACGACACCGGGCAACAGACTCTTGCATATACCAGAAATGGTGGATTCGATTTCGAAACCGGTGCCTGCGGCGCCATTATAGACGGCAGTATCAAGGTGGAGCAAGGGTATCCCATTCGCTTCACTGAAGACCACGTTGTACTGGATGTAGAGCGGGAGCAAAAGTATGACCTCGTCATCCTGGCCCCGGGCTTCTCCAGTACCGTCGAGTCGATTCGGCAGATCTTCGGCGATGAGCTCACCAGCCAATGCAAACCGACCTGGGGTATGGATCAGGAGGGAGGTTCACAAGCCACCCTCAATTCAAAAGCTGGAACCAAAATCATGGACCAAATTTGCTATGGGTTTCAGCGGATTCAGGTTACGGGAAGTCGGTTTTGGTGAAGTACTTGGTTGATGCAGTTCTTCCCACCAGGGCGAGAACGATTTGTTACTTCTTCTTCAAGGATGATTTTGAAGACCAGAGGGGCTCAACAAGTGCTGTCTGTACTATTCTACGCCAGCTCTTTCTTACACAGCCTCACATTTTGCATGACTCGATATTGGATAAGTTTGAGACAGATGGGGCCCGGCTTACGGATTCTTTTATGATCTTTGGGGGATCCTGATTAACATAGCCACTACTCAAGCTTCTGGGGAGGTAATATGCGTATTCGACGCCTTAGATGAGTGTCGAGAAGTTGATCGAATGCAATTCACCTGTGCAGTAAAAACCTTCTTTATCGCGGAGCCCAGAGTCTCAAACTTGAAATTTCTGATAACGAGCAGACCTTACGATGACATACGCCGTGGGTTCTGGGAACTCGAAGACCAGCTACTAACAATTCACCTCAGTAGTGAGAACGAGGTTGAAGTCGAGAAAATCACACAAGAGATAGACCTCGTTATCAAAGAGCGGATTTGCCAGATTGGCAAGCAGAAGTCTTAGGAAATTCAAAGGTGTGAATTTCTACAGGAACAACTCACAAGCATCCCCAATCGTACTTATCTTTGGGTGAGCCTCGTAATAGATGTTATCGAGAACACGACCAGTTTCACAAAAGGGAATGTCCGCCGAGCTATACAGTCACTACCCCGGACCGTTGATGACGCGTACGACAAGATCCTGAGTCACAGTCCTGATATCGATAAAGCAAAGGCCCTTCTACATATTGTTACTTCTGCAAAGAAACCGTTGTCCCTGAAACAGGTATCTCTGGCCATGGCCATTAGTACAGAACACCGATCCTACACGGACCTTGAGGAAGAACTAGAGTCAGAGCATAGCTTTCGAAGAACTGTGGGGGATTTATGTGGACTCCTCCTGGTTATCATTGACGAAAAGATCTACCTACTTCATCAGACCGCGAAGGAGTTCTTGGTCCGTGACGAATTGGTGGCGCTGCCTAGTACTGAGCCCTCTCTTTCTAACACATGGAAACATTGTCTCTATTCAAAGGAGTCGAACAAAGTCCTTGCCGAAAGATGCATTTGGTATCTCAGTTTAGCCAATGAGGAAATTCACAGAGACCCCTTCTTCACCTATAGAGCCCAGTATTGGCCTTTATATTTTCGTGAATCTTGCATGTATGGCATGGATACAATAGCAGCACAGGCGCTGTATCTTTGTAAAGCAAAATCCAACCAATACAAGGCTTGGTCACGGTACTCTCCAGCGCCCGATTGTGTGCAGGATGACTTAACTATATGTCGCTGGCTCCCCCGCTCCCCCACACATTGCATACTGTCTTCTTTAGGATTCGAAGCATTAGTGATCTTGCTTCTCAATGGTGGCGGAGTGGACATGAATGTTAAGGACCCCGAGTATGGGCGCACGCCACTATCGTGGACCGCAGGACATGGGCATGACACAATAGTCAAGCTCCTGCTTGACGCAGGTAAAATTGACCCAGGTTCTGAGGACTATTCAGGAAAAACGCCATTAGCATGGGCTGCAAGGGGTGGACATGATGACGTAGTCGAGTTCCTTCTTGATTCAGGAGAGGTTGGCCCAGACTCCAAGGTCAAGTCTCAAGTACTTAATATTTCAGCAGGAAGGTCTAGCCCAGGCCCCATGATCAAGGTGGACGAAACGCCACTATTATTAGCTGCCAAGATAGGACATGGCACAGTAGTCAAGCTCCTGCTTGATACAGGCAAAGTTGACCCAAACCTCAAAGACGACTTAGGATTGACATCACTATCTCATGCTGCACAAAATGGGCATGAGAAGGTGGTAAAAATCTTGCTTGATGCAGAGAATGTGGATCCAGAATCTCAAGACATGTTAGGAAGAACACCGCTATTATTGGCTGCAATGAAGGGCAAGGAATCGGTTGTGAATCTTCTGATAATATCTGGCAAGGTTTACCCAGAGTCTAGAGACTATACGGGCAGAGCACCATTATCATTAGCTGCAGCACATGGATATGAGCGTGTTGTAAAGCAGTTATATGATACGGGGAGGGTGGATCCTGACTCCAGGAATGAGAATTGTCGCACACCATTCTCATACGCTGCGGGAGCTGACCCGAACGCACAATCAACCATACATTATCTAGGAACCGGAATGTCCAGCAACAAGATACCGTCTATTGCTGTGACATATGAGCGAGAAAGGCTATCAGCTCTGCAAGTGCTGCTGGAAATTAAAGTGGTGAACGTTGATTCGAGGGACATATTTGGACGGATTCCTCTGTCTTATGCTGCGGCAGCTAAGTGGCGAGGTCGACAGCTCATAGAGGTGCTGCTTAAAACAGGGAAGGTGGATGTTGACTCAATGGATGAGGAGGGACGCACGCCACTCTCGTACGCTGTAGAATCATGAACAAAGTTGCCTTGTGGGAGAATATTCTCAACGGTAGAACCACTTCTTGAAACTGGGAAGGTCGATATTGAGTTAAAGGACAAGGATGGCCGCACGCCACTTTCATACACTGAGGGGGATGGGAGAGAAGATCTCAGAAAGCTACTCAAGGACGCTCTCGAGTCAAGGGGGTAAGTCCTATGCCCCTTTTTACCTTGATCATATCACGTTTTATTGGGGTTGTTGAATATGCTGGTTCATGGAACAACGGCTGACATAAATCGCGGAGTGAGAGTAACTCAACCACTGAGGTGTCCCAGCAATCACAAGTAGATCCATGATTATTGATTGTTTTGGAGAGGGAGATATTCGTCCAATTCAGCAGCTCATGGACCTGATAACTTTTCTGACGATGTACGTTTTCAGGGGCGAGGACCACATTAAAAGAAGGGTTCGAATATGAGAGACCATTTTCCCTGTCGCTATGAAGTCTATCAGGGATAGAGTGTTCAAGGCACGACCTTGGTGGCATATGGTATTGTGTACGAGTGGGATTGTCAAAATGCACTGCCCGGGAGGATATCGGCTCGAATTATTCAAAGTTTCACCCAAATTGAAAGTCCATGTGCAAATGGTTACTTTAATTCTAAGATATGCATGTTACCACGCTACTGAATTTATATTCCTTCCTTTCACTGCTCAAATACTTATATCAGCGTCGATACATAGTAACCAGTGGATATCAAGGCGTGGATAAGTTCCCGAGCGCGCCAACGATAGTCTATTTAAACTACGTACCGTACCAACCTGTATTTAATGTACTCCATACCAAGGATCAACGAGCTCCATTTCTTCCCCGGATCCGCATTACGGCGTAATCAAATCTCCACCCATTACCGATCAGAACCACCAAACTACTAATAGGTACCCATAACCCCAACACATACATAGCCCGTCACCAGCTCCCCAAACACCAATCTAACCACAGAAATACTAGCTACCTACCCTCCGCGCCTGAAATGCTCTAATCCTCGGCAAACAAGCCACCATCGACATCGCCACAAAGCACGAAAGTAGACGAACCCGCAACACATCGATTGAGGAAAGCAAGGTGACCGCTGAAAATCTACCTGCGCGTCCGAAAGAACCAGTGTCATCAAGAATATATCCACCTCGGAAGGTTCGATGGGATGGTTTTGACGGTGGAGCCTGATTCTGTATTATGGGATTCGGTTGCTGTATACTGAGAGGCCGGTTTAGGGCTGTGCATGGTTTGGTCTGGTGGTGGGGATTGGGATGGAGGGTTGTTTTGATGGGCTCTTTTCTTTTGTGGTGTTGGAGGTAGTATGGTGCTGCTGGTTTTGTGGTGGCATTCTTTGTTTGATGGGGTTGGTGTTCATGGGGTTGGGTTGAGGGTTCATCTGTATCGAGAAGAGGGCTTATATCAGGTTTGAGTGGTGTTGTTGGAGAGTAGTTCTGTGAGTGAGCGGTTTGTATGTTTAAGAAGGCCTGGTAAGTATATTTGGTAGGTAATTGTAAGATGATGCTACTATCGTAAGAACATAAAGCCATGAATCAATATGCACAGATACCCTAACCTTCCTTTACATTCTCCATACCCACTTCGCGAACCCGACTCCTCACTCGCCCCAGTCGACAAAGTCACACCCTCCCCATCACAGGCCGATGCTTTAGGAACATCTCGGGAGGGAACTTCTCCCTGTCGTTATGAGCTTCGACACACTGGTTCTCATGCCTCGGCGTCTCCACTTCCATGAGCGACATCAACTTCCGCCACTCCGATAACACCACATCGATCTCCATCTTGGAGTCCCCGACAATTGCGTCCATCTTGATATCGTTCCGGTCGTATCCGAACGGATCCTCCAGTTGTGATCCGATCCCTTCGATTCCGTACAAGGTGAAAATTACGAGACTGACAATGGGGACCGTCCACCAGCCCAGGTCATCGACCATTCCGAATGGCAGGACACAGCCGAAGAGAGCGAGGACTTGTTTCTGGTGGATCCTATATCATCATCAGCATCCTCTTCCAGGACAATTACCAGTGAATCGAGGTATAAAAGATGGAAGTGACTCACAAATGCGCAACAGGAATAGGCGTTAACCGAATCATCTCCATCCTCCCCACAGCGTCCAACAACGAGTTCAACTGCGCCTGCATCTGACTTGCCCCTGGCGCATGATACCAACCTCTCTCGACACCCCTCTTGATAAACCCATCGACGAAGAAACTCAACTGGAACGGCAGCGCCAGCCCTTCATCCTCGTGGCCCTCGAGTCCCTTTGGGAGCAGATTTGCGTAGTCGGGGTTATATGCTGCGACTCCGTCCTCGCCGACGTCGTCGCCGAAAGAGTAGAAGGCCGCGCCCCATTCGGCGCGGAGGTGGTTTTTCACGGCGTACGGTAGGGCCATGAGGATGCGGATAGTGCGTTCAATGTCTTCTTTTTCGTCCTGACGGAGGGGACGCGAGGTGCTGTAGCTGTTGGTGAGGATGGTCCGGACCAGGTTGCGAATGCAGGTTGTTAGGGTTGTGAGGCTGTTGCGACCGTCCCAGAAGCGGTTGTAGCTGGTCTGGTTGCGGAAGACGAGCATTAGGCCCACCACTATCGAGAGGGATGGAATCTGAGTTTGGTAGTGAGTTAGGTGCTCTTTGAAAAGAACACTAAGGATGAGAACCAAGCTTACGATGCTACTAGGTAATCCGACGGTATCAAAGATGTACAAATCTAGACAGACGACGAAGGCCGTAAACAGCGCGTGGAAGAGTGTAGGAACGATAATGGCGCCATGGATGGCACCTTTGATGAATCGGAATACCAGGGGCCATCTAAAGAAGTCTTCGGTCAGATCTGATCCAGTACTAGAGATATGGGGTGCGTACCTTCGCGGCTTCTGTCGATGGGAGAGGAGATGCGGATGTGTGCCATGTCGAACAAAGGTGCTTTGACGGCTCAGCGCTGGGGTCGATGGGGCGCTCAAGTTTAATCGCATTTTCCTGCTGTCCTTCGAGTATTCTGGGAGGGATATTCTCTCAAAGAGTGAGTGAAGGGAAGGAATTGGCAAGGGCAGCGGTCAACCAAAACAAACGGTTAGGTTGGTTAGGTTGGTGAGGTGGTTTCCACTAAAAGGAGTTGGAGGGGCTCGACGACCCCTCAAGCAAATCACACGAGACGAAACTACAAGCTAACCGTGGTGGTTCGAGCCACTAATCATAGTCCGGGCATAGCTTAAAAACAGTTCCCGCGTCCCCGTCCTATCGTCACCTTCGACGCGGTGTCGATCTTCCTGTGAGATGACGTCGCTTGAATTCTCCAGCGCCCGTGGGGTAGTAGTTAATTGGATACCTGCACGAAGGGGTGGATGTTGAGGCGCTCTAAGAGCCCCCGACAAACGTTATTTAGAATCATTGGTCTGACCACCCTTCGGTGGCGGGAGGGTCGCGAAGAGGGTTGGAAGATGGACTCCGGCGAGCCAAGCAATGGTATTGTTGCTTTAGTAGCTGAGTTGGCCAGTGCGGTTCCCACGCACGGTCGCAGTATAAATGATGTATGTACACACATGCTTAATCAGGCGCTATCAAAATAGAACGGAAGGAAAAAGGGTCACAGGAGAACGAATGCAGACGGGGAGATCGCCGAGGGACCACCGGCAACCTTAGCGAGATCGCAGGATGTATGCAGATGCCAAAACGCCAATACCAGCCGGCTAAAGTGCACTGTCGGACAGCCAGTGAGGACGCAATGGGGAACCTGGTCAAGCCGACCGAGAGGAGCAATCCGGCGATGCGAAATGGGGGTATAATTTAAAACCAAGGGCAGATGGGTTCCAGATTGCGATGCTAGATAAAGATAGGAAATAGCTATGCTGGGGTGTTCAACTAAGGATGATGCAAGGAGAGAAACGAGAGGAAACACGGGAAAGGATGCAGGATAGTCTTTGGTGGGACGACTCTCGGTGCCGTTGGCCGAGCGCCTCCCTGCCCACAAAGGCCAATGTAGTCCCTGCGCGTGGTGTCCCATGACTTTGTATTCCATAGAATTGTCCTTCTTCACGACATGCTAGCCCGGCCGTCAAACGCCAGAGGACCGGAATCATTGCGGGGCGTCAGAGGGTTATCTTCGGAGGATTCAGAACGAATGGGTGTATCTGCACGCAGCTGCGCCTGCCGGCACTGAAGAGCACTAGCCGTAGGAATCGGTATCCCGATACTCCCCGTGACAACAAGGGGTGGATCAGCCGCACGGGGTCTCTCGCCATCAAGTTCTCTCGATGCACTATTTTCATTGAGGTGCATCGTCTCGACATCGTGAGTAAGCCCTGCTGCCGCGGGTAAGGGACTTGGCTGGGCATCCACGGAGTCTTGCGAGGAGCTGGAGGCCTCAGGAGTTGAGTTACTTTCTAGTTGAGGGGTGTGGGTTTCGGATCGACCGTCCTGAGATGAATCTCGTTGCTCCACTGTGGAGGCGGGCTTTTGTTCCACCTCCTCGTAATCGTTCGAATCATCAACCTCGGCGCTGAGATCTGTATACGCACGGCAATTCGGGCACTGGAACATAGGGTAATCCGGTGTATGTATGAGGCGACTAACGCACTTGTAGTGCCAAACATGGGCACACGCGGCCATGAACAGACACTGGTAGGGTCTCTACACTCGACGTTAGCCACAGACTGTCCAGGAGAAACCAGCCAAGGGAAACGAAACGGCGAAACAAAACAAGCGGTGAGACAAACCAAGACGGATCCAAGACAGATCGAGCATTCGCGACATCCAGAATAGTCCGCCGTATCGCCTTTGCCTAGGTTTTTAATAAGGCTCTCGGTGTTTTTACTAGAGCCGGGTTAGCATTGTCATCCCCCTCCCTCAGTGTATGGGCCATACTTGAACTCATTAGGCTGCTGCTGCCAGGACCGGTTGCATTCGATGCGTATACGAACGCATCGGAAAATCATCTCTTCCCCACCCCTGAAATCAATACCCAGCTGCACGATATCACCG